TGAATACAGCTCCTCAGACTGAGGAAGTCTCTCGGATGAGAGACGAAACGTTTCTACATTTTTTTGTTGATTTGCTTTGTTTTATTTTTTTGAATGTCCAGAGGACCAGATTTAACTTTTTTAGATTTTTCTAGCTGGATTATTGAGCATGCATCAGAACACAATCATTGTTCCACATTTAATCTATTGAACTGATGTTTGGGGGAAAGCGTGTAAAACATTTACAAAACCTATTTTTATTTTACAGAAAAGAGCTGTAAGAATCATCACCAGAAAGCATTACAGTCACCCATTAAACACATTATTTTATCAACTGAAGTTATTAAAGTTACATGATTTGGTAGATTATAGTATTTTATCAGTTATGTATAGGGCTTAAAATAACACATTACCATTAAATATCCAAAGAAATTTTGTTAAAAGACAAAGTTGTTACAATCTAAAAGGGATAGAGATATTTGTCAAACCAAAATTCAGAACTAGTCTGAAGGGAAGGTCTACCTCAATCCAAGGAGTTGGATTGTGGAATGGTCTAGAGAGTGATGTAAAAAATGTCAAGTCAATGTGTACATTTAAGAAAAAGATCAAAGCTGAATTGTTGAAAAAATATATATGAAGTAGCTTAGTGTGTTTTTTTGTATTAGAATTAGAAAAATTAGAAAGAGTTATTCATTTTGTTCTGTTACTTGAAAATTATGACTGAACTAATTGTTTGAAAAAAGGGGCAGATATAATAAGATTTTTTCTTCTTTCTGCTGCCTTTCATTTTAAATCTCTTGTATCTGTTTTTATATCGTTATGGAATTGTTTTGTACTTTTTTAAAATGAATAAACTTTATACCATACCATACCATATATGCTTTCTTTTGACAGTAGCTTTGTACTATGCAAGAAACACATATTAGTAAATTAATAATAATACGGTAAATGGACTGCATTTATATAGCACCTTTCTGTCTGATCAAGATACTCAAAGCTCGTTACAACACAATCTGTGCCCTCATTTACCCACTCATACTGCGCTCTACTAGATCTATACAGAGACTAAATCAATGCTTTATCACATTCATACACCAATGGGACACACATTGGAGGCAATGAGGGGTTCAGTGTCTTGCACAGGGACACTTCAGCATGTGACTGCTGGTGAAATCTAACACTCAACTTTTGCATTGGAGGATGACTGCTCTAACCACTAAGCCACAGTCTCCCCAATACATAATAATAATAATGTAATTATAATAATTCACTCTACACTCTCAGCAGGGTCCTGGAGGGTGCGTGGGAGTTTGCCCAACTGGTCTACATGTGCTTTGTGGACTTGGAGAAGGCGTTCGACCACGTCCCTCGGGGAACCCTGTGGGGGGTACTCTGGGAGTATGGGGTACCGGGCCCTTTGATACGGGCTGTTAGGTCCCTGTATGACCGGTGTCAGAGCCTGGTCCGCATCGCCGGCAGTAAGTCGGGCTTGTTCCCGGTGAGAGTTGGACTCCACCAAGGTTGCCCTTTGTCACTGATTCTGTTCATAACTTTTATGGACAGAATTTCTAGGAGCAGCCAAGGTGTTGAGGGGATCTGTTTTGGTGGCCTTAGGATTGCGTCTCTGCTTTTTGCAGATGATGTGGTCTTATTGGCTTCATTAGATCATGATCTACAGCTTTCGCAGGAGCAGTTCGCAGCCGAATGTGACGCGGCCGGGATGAAGATCAGTTCCTCCAAATCCGAGGCCATGGTCTTGAACCGGAAAAGGGTAGAGAGCCCTCTCCGGGTCAGGGAGGAGGTCCTACCCCAAGTGGAGGAGTTTAATAAGTATCTTGGGGTCTTGTTCATGAATGAGGGAAAAATGGAGCATGAGATCGATAGGCGGATAGGTGCAGCATCAGCAGTGAAGCAGGCGCTGTACAGGTCTGTCGTGGTGAAGAGAGAGCTGAGTCAAAAGGAGAAGCTCTCAATTTACCGATCAATCTACGTTCCTACCCTCATCTATGGTCACGAGCTTTGGGTTGTGACCGAAAGAATGAGATCTTGGATACAAGCGGCCGAAATGAGTTTTCTCCGCAGGGTGTCTGGGCTCTCCCTTAGGGATAGGGTGAGAAGCTCGATCATCCGGGAGGGACTCAGAGTAGAGCCGCTGCTTCTCCACGTCGAGAGGAGCCAGTTGAGGTGGATTGGGCATCTGTTTAGGATGCCTTCTGGACGCCTCCCTGGTGAGGCGTTCCGGACACGTCCCACCGGAAGGAGACCCAGAGGAAGACCCAGGACACGCTGGAGGGACTATGTTTCTCGGCTGGCCTGGGAACGCCTCGGGATTCCCCCGGAAGAGCTGGCCCAAGTGGCTGGGGAGAGGGAAGTCTGGGCCTCCCTACTTAGGCTGCTACCCCCGCAACCCGACCCCGGATAAGCGGAAGAAAATGGATGGATGGATTAAGTGAAGTGGCTGATTTTTTGTTAGTAACTGTGTCAAATAAAGAACCAGAAGCAACAAAATGTTTGTTGAAACAGTATGCTGCCTTCATACATCTCCTCCTACATGTCTCTGCGTGAGTGCAGCTACGGAGTGCGCTCTCAGGACATTATTACCTGCAGTGTTCCCTCAGTGAGGACTGAACTAGGCAAAAGGGCCTTCTCCTACTCCGCTCCTGTTTCCTGGAATATCTTACAAAAAGATTTGAAGCTCTCGACCTTGACCTCTCTAAGTGGCTTTAAGAATCTGTTGGACTCCTGGCAGGGACCAATGCAGACATGTTCCTGTTTTTAGTTTTATACATTTGTCTTGGAATCTAGCTGTTTTTTTGTTTTGTTACCTTTTTCCTTTTAGCCATCCTATTTGTTAAAAAAAAAAAAAAAAAAAAAAAACTGTAGTATGAGTTTTTATAATTGCTTATTGTTGTTGCTGTTGTCCATTGTTGTCATCTTTCTTTGTTGAAATCAGGTCTCTCTTGTAAATGAGTCCTCGAGGCTCAATGGGATTTACCTGTATAAATAAAGGTTGATTGATAATAATGAATTATTCATCTTGGATTTTTGATGGCCAATAAGGTAGAATTGTTCAGAAGACTCTTGGGAACAACCATCCCAAATTTGGTGCTTGTATCTCATTCTGCACACAGTGCTGACTCTATGCAGATGACATTTTCTTAAATACCTATATACTTTTGCTCAGCTGCTGTCAAAAAAAAAAAAAATCCAATCTTTACTTAGAAAGAAGAACAAAAACATGGTCAGTTTATCAATTGATTGAACATATTTTAGCAGTTTAAATAAATGTGTATTTTGCAGTGCAGCTCATCACAATATGAACTTTGGAGTTTAACGGTGGAAATGCTGTTAAGTGACCTCAGATTGGTTACAGAGTTTTAACCCACATCCTCTAATTAAATGTTAAGATGCCAAGTGGAATTTGTTTCAGAGAGTGGAAATGTTTCTGCTGTTCATTTCACTCCTGGAGCCAAAACACTGACTCAACGTGTACAGAGAGGGGAAATACAGCTTCATTCTCTGTACCAACCAGCAACATATTAAAAGGTTTCATTCCTTCATCTTCCACTTTCCATGAGAGCCAATGTGATGAGAAAAACTAAACTCCCATCAACAGCAGCTCAAACACAAATTCTTTAGCCCTTTCCAGACTTTCACTTTTATCTCACAAGGGTTTGAGATGTTTTTGTGTTTACCTCCTCACTGTGAGCTTCAGTATCCTGTACGAGCCCTTGATGAGGATGAGGGCTTCCTGTCGGCTGCCGTAAAGTGCGGACCCGTTAATGTTGATGAGTTCATCTCCAACTTTCAGCTTCTCGCAGTGGGCAGCCTTCCCTCTGTCCTCGATCTGAACACAAGACGTGATTGAGTTGAGATGAAGAAAACGGTTGGAACAGCAACAGGAAGACATTCAGACGAAAAAAAAGTAAAATTAAAAAAAAGGGAAACTTGCCGTTAAAATCAAAAAGACCTTCAAGGATACTGTTGAGCTGCCAAGACGATGGCTTTTTAAAAACGCTTTCAGAGACATTTTTAGTTAAATTGTCTCTGTCTCCATGACAACTGTGCCCTAAAAAGCATCTCCAAAACAGACTGAACCAAACATCCCACAAACATCAAATTCCTCCATAATAAACTGTGCAAGTGTGTGTGTGTGTGTGTGCTTGTTTATGTTACTTTGTGAGGACAATTTTTGAACACATACTATATTGTTAGGACCTACAGCTCTTTGTGAGGACCAAAACCCGGTCCCCATAAGGTTCAAGTGTCGTTGGTGGGTTAGGGGTAAGGTTTAGGACTAAGGTGTAAATTGAAGATAGGTTAGGTTTAGGGTTAGGGTTAGGTATGTACAGGTAATGGTTAGGTTTAGGGCAGTACTGTAGTCTATGTGATACGCGATGATGATATATGGCATATAACCACAAAAAATGCTTTGAAATTTCCGCATAACTAATTAAGGTGCCCAATGATACGTAATGTTCACTCTGTGCTGCGCAGTTAGGGCAACTGCGTAAATACCCAAGCAAAATATCTACTGGTAGTTATCTCCCGCTGCTTTATAATAAACTTTTATAATGACCTGTCAGCCCGAGCGCAGCGGTCTCTACAATCTGTCAGTATGCAGCGCATTTGCGTGCAGAGTGGAGGAAGAGACGCCGCCCCCACCTCCGCCCCGGTCAAAACAGATCTGTGTCACGTGATTTGTGTAGCACAACGGAAGTAATAATAATAATAATAATGAATTTAATTTGTAACGCACTTTTCATTAACAAAAATCTCAAAGTGCTAAAGTTTCCAAAGAGGTAAAAAAAATTAAACCAATGAAATCACAGGCGAACTTTCATTCCAGCCAATCGGCGTCTTCTGTAGTTTCAGCACAGACGTGCAAAGGAGCCAAGTAGCTACAAACAACCGTGTCTTCGAGGCTTTTCCAAGCTTTACTACATATTTCATCGCATACCAAGGAGTAACATTTGGCGTTGTGGATTTATCACAGACATTTACGGTTGTACGACGTTAAACAGAGGCGGTAAGCTAATCCCACGACTTGTAGCCGTTTTTATCATGCTAAGTGTTAGCAAACAAATAGTAGTACTCGGTGAATATCTGGATGCGACTAAACTGATTTTGTAAAAAGTGTTTAATATTTCAAGTTAAAATTGTGTTTATTTGTCATATGCAAGGTTAACAAAAGGTTAAAATGAAATGCTCAGGATGGGAAGAACCAATTTGACTCGCTAAATAAACAAACAAACAAGAAATACTAAGCAAGCAATAAGGGTACAAAAAATACCAGAAGGCGAAAAAGTAATAATATTTACAGCTGTACATTTATTGAAACATAAGCATCAGAGAAATTGTGAAATGTTCAATTTGCTAAAAATCTAAATAAACTGACGATTACATTGTACTAACCGGTGTGTTTTGGTTTCTATCCAAGCACAGTATAACCATTTCAAAAATGTAGAGCATACCATGGCTTAGGGTTAGGTATGTACTGGTAATAGTTAGGTTTAGTGTAAGGGGAGGGTTAGGCTATATATATGAATGAAAAATGAATGGAAGTCAATGGAAAGTCCCTGTAAAGATAGAAAGACAAACTACGTGTATGTGTACGTGTGTTTGACACAGTGGTGACTGCAGGTCACACCGTGGAGAAGACTGTGCTGTTAATGCATTGCTGAGATGCTTCAGGGTGTTTTTAAGAGACAGTAAAGTGGGAGTGCAATGAGTATGTGATGCAGCGTGATGCGAGGATCAATTCAGTTATGGATTACAGAAAGAGATGACAGGATGAAAGAAAGGCAAAAAGGATAGGAACAAACAGATGGACGGGGCTGACAAACATGCTTACTGAATGACAACAACAAAAATGAAGACTTTTTTGAAATTTATTTTTATTTTTAAGATTACATTTGTTTTAAAAACAGAACAGTTTGGGTTATTTGACTTGTTAAAATTATATTAATCTCCATATATTTATCCCCTGACACCAAAAGACGAATAATATAGTTGCTGCATAATGTCTGTGCATGTTTGTTCATCTTTGTTAGCAAAATATATAAAATGTAAAACTGATTTTAACAAAACGCTCACAAAATAAACCATTGGATTTACATCTACGAACAATTACCATTTGGAGTTAATCCAGTTCAAAATGGCTGCCACGCCTCTAACTGTAGCCAACACAAAATCAGAAATGGATCAGCCAATGTTACAGATATTGAGCTAAGTAAGATTTGATGTGGTAGTCGATGAGCATGACACATACTCTTAAAGCTTACTGATCGCACCAGAGCTGGTGATGTTGAATGAGATCACACAAAATGTGATTTTTCAAGGTTTGACAAAAGGCCTATAACTCGGGTCACTTCTCAACATAAAACAAGCGGTACAATGATCTCCCCCGTCGCTTAGGCATTTGAATAGTGAATGTTCGTAGTTTTTGAGATTAGTGTTTTTCTGGACTAGAACTGAACAGAGAACACAAATAAACCTTCATGTTTTTATTGCAAAATATTCAAGCGGGTGTAGAAGAACAGAATTTTTTTTGGTTCCTTTGGTAGCGCAGAGTGACGAATCCTGGAGAGTGGAGAGAACAATTTTATACATTATCAGGTGCAATGGTGGAGCCAGGGGGTGGCCAATGATGGCCTTGGTCACCATAGATTAATCTTTGGCCACCCCCAAATATTTGAAGAAATTATTGTTTTCATCCATCCATCATCTTCTTCCTTCTTGGGTCACAGGGGTCACTGGTGCTCATATCCAGCCATCAATGTGCGAGACGCAGGGACACCCTGGACAGGTCTCCAGTCCATCACAGGGACACAGAGACAAACGAGACAACCATTCAGTCTCTCACTCACACCTAGGGACAGTTTAGAGTTACCAGTCAGCCTAACATGCATGTTTTTGGTCTGTGGGAGGAAACCAGAGTACCTGGAGAAAACCCACTCAGCACAGAGAGAGCATGAAAACTCCACCCAGAAAGACCCCTAGTCAGGATTCCAACTGACAACCTTCTCGATATAAAAACTAGAAAGTAGTTTTCTCAAATGATAGTGGTGGCTGGTTTGCATACTGTATATGTATGGTGGTGGCTATTTTGAATTTTGTTGTGGCAACCCAATTTTTAATAGGAATGTTTTACACCTAGATGTAGCCACACACCAAAATGGAAGTCAGGGCCTCACTTATTTTTCAAGTTATCATGCTCAGAACATGCATGTACAGGTATGTACAATGTCTCCTCATTGCTTCATAGTGGGGGACAATAATCTTCGTTTAAAACTCTGATATGAAAGGCAGCGGGGAATATACATTTCTTCAAGGAATGCTAGGCCATTAAACTTTAAAACAAAATTTGAAGTGACATCATTAAAAATAGAATTCAGAAAAATAACTAGTATAAAGATTTAAATGGTCCCTAGCCAGGTAAAAATCTCAAGTGTTTAGCTTGTTGCTTTCAGGTATAAAACCTAATAAGTCATCTTTTAACTCCATATGAAAGCTGAGTAAGCATGTACAAGAAGGTGATTTCTTCAGAAATAAACTTCTGATTATACAGAGTGGAAACAGAGAGCAGGGTTGTTCCACCTCCATCATTTAGTCATCTGTTCAAAATCAAAGGGAAAAATGTCATGAAAACATAGGTTTAGTATTTTCAGACACACAGAAGAAACTCTGCTCTGTGAGCCAACTCCAACATGAATAAAGATCTTTTATATTTTAACTTGAGCTGGTTGTTCTCATGGGTCCAATTAAGTCACAAATTCTCACGTCAATGATTAACTAGCAACTATTTTAAAAGAGAAAACTATCAACCACATGTGAAGCAGGACATGTTATTAGAACTTTGGGGGTTGCCTGACTGGGTTTGATTTTAGGTAAAAAAATAAAATATAAAAACAACTTTTTAAAAATCAGATTTTAATAATTTTGAATGGATTGATGCCAACTTATAGACTGTTAACATCTAAGTCACATGTTACACCTGAAAATGTTTGTTCATATAACAAGAAGCAAAGTGATGAGATGTCTGACTTGAAACCTTTGGAAGTAAGAATAACTGTTTTTGTGTTTCCTAAGGTTGGTAGGATGTGGTGGTCCATATGGAATTGGACTGGCCCCAAAAGTTACTCAGTGGTAGTCGACATGAAACTATTTCATTTATTTTTAAGTTTTGTTAAAATCCAAACAGTGGTTGTTGGAATATTTTCCGAATGGACAAACAAATGTAGGCAAACACGCACACGCAAAGCTCTTACGGTTCTGCCTTCGTCTTTGGGCAATAATTAAGCTTAGACAAACAGTTAATGGGCAAAAACTATGAGAGTTCAGGAATCTTTCTAATATGACTAAGTGGCAGAAGCATCTGGTTGTCACATAAGTCAATATTTGATGTGCTCACAATGTTTTGTTTTAAAATATCCATCCATCCATTATCTTTTACCTGCTTCTTCCTTTTCGGGTAGCGGGGGTCACTAGAGCCCATATCCAGCTATCATTGTGTGAGAGGCCGGGGCTGGACAGGTTGCAAGTAGGGGTGCACCGATAAATTGGCTAGCCGATTTATCAACCCTGATTTCCTTTATTTTGGGAGATCGGCCGATACTTACACGATATTTACAGATTTTTTTGTAGTTTTAACAATTGTCTAAACTTCATTTATATTTCAGAGCACTACTTCATGGCCAGTGAAAACAAGTTTGTATTGTTTCTAGGATATTGTTCAAGGATATGTTTTTTAATAAAATAACATTGTAAAATTGAAGGTGCATTGTGACCTTATAACGTCTGACAATTAGGGGTGCACCAATTGCAGTTTTCTGGCCGATCACCGAT